GTGTCGGCAAAATATTAATTTATGTCAATACCGATTGTCACAAATTACTGAGACATTTCTCGGAACGTGTGTATTTTTTTTTCTCCGTGAACCAATCATTTTTTCGGCCCACTGAACGTGCGTAAAAATTTTTCAACGGCGCATGCAGTGGTCGTACTACTCAAGTAGTTTATATTAAGGCCTGGGTCAAAGGCTTTTATTGATGAAAATACTTTATTACTTATATTTCTGAAGGTATAAATAGCAATGGAACCAGATTTAGCACACAGTTAGGTTTTGACGTCCTGAACATTTTAAAGTAAAATTAATACATCTGACAGGTCACGTGACATGTCACGTGACGTTTAACGGAAAATAGCCATTATTTGAGGAATTGGTGGCGGTTTTTAGTAATAACATCCTGCAAAAAACGCGTTTTAGATGTAGGTCAATTATTTCCATCCTCTCACGTTTGGAATGACCGTCCCTCTTTTCACAGAAAAATTTTATAGAGTGAAAGGTCCTTTTTTGCAACAAAATTCGACTTTTGATCATATATATCTTCTATAAACGAAATCAAATGAGATCATTCCAAACGTAGCAAGGTAGATAATTTAAATTTGCATCGCAAACGCTCATTTATTGATCAATAGAATGAAAATTCACCACCAATTCGCCGATTTACCAAATTTTAACAAAAATGATCACGTGACATGCCACGTGGTCAGAATAATATGTTAATGCGAGGCAGGACGTCGAGTTTTATAATCAGTGAAAAGTTCAGCTTGGTAAGACAAATATAACAAGAGATATACCGGCTGCCCAACCCTAATTCTACTTTACATTCCTGACCCAGGCATTAAACTACTTGAGTAGGCTTCCGCTGCTCTCCCGAGTCTGGTCTACGTTCCTTCCCGAGCCCGAGAAGTGCACGGGTTCCTTCCCCAGCCACGAACAGCGACTGGTTATCGAACTTATGGAAGTGTAAATGAATTTTTTTTACATTTATATACAAGTATACTTGCAGTTTTTTTTTTAACCGCCTACTCCCCCTCCTTAAGAAGCCAAATGGTCCACCGCTAATCCCAAGCAATGCTCTTTGGCAAGAGAAGATTTCATTGTCAGTGTTTAAATGAGAGATACATATGCGGTTGGAAATGAGATAAGTTGTGCAGGTAATACCAGGCTCAAGCACGGTCTGTCCCTTAAAATGTCTGTTCTTTTCCTCAGCCGAGTTCTTGATAGCCTGCTTAATTAGGAAGCGTTCTCGTACGAAGAGCTTTTCCGCATTCTGACCACGCAAATTTTTGCTCTCGCTCCAATTTACGTGCGGTCAGAATACGGAAAAGCTATTTGTATAGGAACGCTTGCTACGCAGGCTAAATTCTTGAGGGTAGCGAGGGAAGAAAACCAGAGGCACTGACTGACCCTCAGTAACCTGACCCTGCACGGAAAAGTGGTTATTTTCTGTGAATTTTACTTACTGGTCGCCTAAACTTTTCTGGAGCGATCACAACGATCGCCGTGTAGTCTAGTGATTCTAGTCATCGTGACGATCACATAGAAACCAGTCTATACATAGCCGTAAGTGTAAAGAGACCCGCAAAAATGGACGCTAAGGTCCCGGCCACCCAAATGCGTTTCTAAAAGTCTCCTTTTCATCTCGAAGAAAACGAAGCAAAATATTTTCGCCCACACTGGCGTTTTCGTTTGTTTTCAACTGTCACACGAATACTTTTTGAGGCCTTTTCGCCCACCGTCCAAACTACGCTGTAGAACGCCCGAAAGCGCTAATGGAAGCGACAGTATATCACGCTTTTTTTCGTCACAGTTTTAAAAGATTAAAAGGCCTCCGTTTTCACCGTCCACACTAGAAACGGGGCGTTTCAAAACGATGCTTTTTCAGAAGACTCCATTTTTGGAACCGTTTTCAAAGAGCCTTTTGAAAATGCATCGTTTTGAAAACGCTCCGTTTCTAGTGTGGATATGTGAAAACGGAGGCTTTTGAAAACAGTGACGAAAAAAGCGTCATATACTGTCATTTCCATCAGTGTTTTTGGTCGTTTTAGTGCTGACGACAGGCGAAAACGTATCAAACATGATGCGTTTTAAAATTAAAATGCATTAGTCGCTTCCATCAGCGTTTTCGGACGTTTTAGTTTGAACGATCAAACATTATGTGTCTTCGAATGAAAATGCATTAATAGCGTGGACAAGTGAAATCAAAACGAAAACGAAAATATTTATCTTCGTTTTCCTCGAGACGAAAACGGAGACTTTTGAAAACGCATTTTTTGCGATAACTGCAGAAATTCTCGTGCGCTCATTGGCTAATTTTCATTGTCAATAAGTGGATAGACACATGAATTTATAATTTATGCGACGCGTCAACAAGCGAGAGCGGACAAATTGTTATCGTAAAAAACCAAATTGAGATCAGTTTTTAATCGCCTCGTGGATCCACAGCTACTTTGACAATGTTATGACGAAATTCATGATCAGGACAGACGCATGAAAAAACTGACCTCAATTTGTTAAATTGCATGGTGCATGAGGCTGGGGTCTAAGAGACAGTTCCGATGTAACAATGATGAGAACTGAAGTACATGCAATTCGCATATTCGCAATTCTAAGATCAAAATTCGCATTCTTATCCCAGGAATGAAAAAACTCGTGTAAAATTAGCTTTACATATATCTCTAATTTCCTACCCAGATATCACTTTGCCTTACGATGGCAGATCGGGATGCGAAATTTTAAAATTTATTTCCACGGCGTTTTTGGTTGTTTTTGGATAGAAGGAAGTATACAGAGTAGATAAAAAAAATTTGTAGTCCACTCTTTATACGAAGGGCCGTTTCAACTAAGGATTTAGGGAGAGAGTGGCCCCAACCATCTTCCGAAAGTCCCTCGACTCTTCTTTCTCAAGAGTAGCTTCAAGTAGAACCCGAGTCAAGCCTTGCGTTAGGTGGCCAAACTTCCTCGGAATTACAGCGAAACCCCGCCTTACGGCCACCCCGTTAATACGGTCACCTCAATATTACGGCCACTTTATTCTGGTCCGGACAAAAGCTCAGTTAGTAATTTTCTTATTTAAAGAACCCGGCCATCAACACGGCCAGATATTTGTGGCCCGTTGGTGTCCGGATTAACGGGGTCCCACTGTACACGCAAGTCGCAGAAAACCCCGCAGACATGTCCTGTATGATGATTTAATTGGCTAAAAGATTGCTATAACAACGAAAGGACGTCACTAAATTTGCATTGACTTGGGTTGGGTGGCCAAACGATGAAAAACTTGCGTCGACTTGCGTGCAAATTTGATCTCAACCAAAGTGAGCACAAGTCATGACAAGTCAACGCAAGTGCACGCAAGCCCCGGCCAAACGGAGTCGCAAGTAGACCCATGTTTTCAACTTGCGTCTACTTGCGAGTCCGTTTGGCCAGGGTTTTACACCAAAACAGACTGACGAAAGAAAACTAGGCAGACCTGAGCAGTCTGAAGAGCACACCATTAAGAGGACAATCCATTCAAGGTGCAAATATATATATTTTATTTTTTTTTCGTTTCTATATATTAAATTTCTCTTCAAACGACCTCCTCCAGCCACGACCGAGGATTTCTAGAAAACTGTCTGGCGAATTATATAAAAATTTACAAAAATATATATCTATAAAACCTACCCCTTGAAAAGCTACATCTGCCGTTGTGTAGAGCACTACCGAGACGAAGCTACTATGCACCAGACTGACTGATAATAAGAGGAAACTTTGAACAGAAACCAATGTGAAAACTAACGAGACCTAAGACTTCTGATGCAAAATACCTCAATACTACGTTAAGTAGGAGTGAACTATAAACGGTGTCTAGTATAAAACGCCAAAGACTTGGATGACCACAAACGCTAGCATATTTTAAACACGCGACTTAATATTCGATGGAGCAAGTACCGTCTAGCTTAAAATGGGTTCCTTTCGAGCGCTCTGTCAGGTTGCTAGGCAACGTGGCTGCGCCATCTAACGAGAAGTCACTCATAAAGTGTTCGTGTGGTTTTCTAATGGGGTAGAAAAAATTGGGTGCGCATGGGGTCTTCACCGAAAATTAACGGTATTTGTTCCATTGAATGCAAAAGTGAAAAAAGCTGAAGACATTTTGGCGCGTTGCGGCCACTTATTAAAGCAACTGATAAGATCATTTAAATAAAGGACGAGGCCCCAAATGGCTGATAAAGTTTGTACACGCTATTAGCAAGAAAACACTTAAGATTAAAAATGAAGAAGGTAAGGAGTTTTAGAGCAAAGGATACGAAGCTGACTCAACAACAGCGGATCTTAAATTTTGTAATTTCAATGTCAAATTCTAATGAAAAAGAATCAAATTACACGCGTCAAAGACGAAACTGGTCTCGACAAACTTACAAGCGCTTTCGCCAATTTCCGTACGTTAAAACAAAACCATTTTGAATGATTCTACACAACAATGGACGATTTTACTGTTTCACTAAAATCAAGATATTCGCAGAGCCATTTTAAAACAGTAATGATCCAATCAAAGCTCCGAGAAAAACTACGTGACTGGCACCAAACGCGGAAAATCACGCGAGAAAATCACATTCTTTTGACACGTGATTGGTTGAGACGACTGAGTCCTTTGATCTGATTGGCTAGCCCAAACTGTAGGAGTTTTATGAACCATTAGCAAGCTATACAAACGCGAAATCAAGGCGAAGAGTTCTAAGTTGGCCATAGGCCCTTACTCTAACTCCTTACGAAGTTGTAACATGGTATTAATAATTCTTACAAATTTGGCTATATATATTATATCCCTACGTCTTTCGTAACCTGTAGTTTATAAATAACAGCCATATTTATTTCTCTATGTAGTCGGAAAATTTACACTCTGGACTGGACTCCCGGTTAAAAGTCCCTTCAATATGGCAACGGAATGAACCCGACAAAGTTCAAAGTTCTAACAAACAAACGACGTCGAGGACACGCGCACGTTTGTTAAAATCACAAGTTGACCACGAAAATAGCACGTGACGTCGAGCTCGACGGGCAAAATAATACGATGCGATATAATCTGCGATTTTTTTTTCAAAACAAATATTTTTCTTCCAGTACGCGCGAGAGTCAAGGCAAGCTGAATATTCACATTTCAGAATTTCCCAAAAAGCAACGATGACTCAACATTCTTGGCTCGTACTGCCTTTATATGGTAAGTTTGAATCTTTTTTTTTTCTTTTGAAAAAACATTCGTCGCTAAAAGAGTAAAAATATATATACAAGGCTGAAACGATTACAAAATTTCAAAACCAAACGTTTTCGACCTACTACCACTGCCCTCTTTTTTTTTATCCGAAGGTGTTTCTTGCACTTGTTCATTCAAAGGGAGCTTTTATTTTGTCAATCCCGAGGCTCTATAGTGTCATTCGCAGCTGTCTCGTTGGGCCGTTGCTTGACGACATGAGAGACCAGAGGTTCTAATGCGAAGCCCTTAAATAATTACCTCGAGCGCGTACCCTGAAAGGGGTCAGTCGGTCTACACTTTTAACGGTCGGTCCAAAAAATTGAATCTGAATTTTTTTTAAAAAGTCTTGTATATGTATTTTTTTTTCATGTGACGTCATCGCCGCCATGATGGATGATATTAGCAAAAGGTGTCCAACTAATGTAGCTTCTTCTGTTGGTACATCCAACATGGCCGCCATACCTTTACCATTTGAATCTCTCGGGATTGGCGGCAAACCGTCCATATTTTGAAAATTATTATATCAAATCAGCTTTACACGCCCTAACAGCCATGAATCCCCAGGCACTGCCGCTTTAGTGTCTCTGGGATTATTCTGTCCTGTTTTTTTAAGGTTCTCGACATTTCAGCTTGTCGATTCAACAGTATTCACAGTTGATTCCCATTCGATTTGTAATATTTCTCTGCCATACCAGCTGACTTCAATTGGGTCATTAATTCATCACGTGACCCTCTGCGCATCTGTTCACGTGATAATCACTTCCGCGGTTGACATCACGTGATTTCAGCTTGTTATGGTTTGTCGGCTGGTCGAGCCTGAAAATTGCAAATTACAAAATTTTGTTAACTGTGATAAATATAATTTCACTATGAAACGGATGACGTTGTTTTCTCAGTTTCGTGCAAGCTTTTGGCCGAAAAATTGAAACGTGTTGCCTTCTCTTTCATAATTTCAAGTTTCAAAAAAGGCTGGTCTCTCGTAATTGTTAGGGAATGCTTACTCGAAGAGAACCGCGAAACCGATATCAAGACCTGACTATGAGGATTTTATGGTTAAGGTATTAGTTATTGACTAGCTCTGAGGTTAATACGGTTTTTACCTTGGAACTGACGAAATAGGATTAGTGACAATGGAAGCTATGCATGCTGCAAGCGGTTATAAAATAGCTAAAACCATGCAAGTCAACAGAACAGCTAATTTACCTTTAAGTTAAATAAATTAAATTAGATTTCCAGCTCCACTTCCTGCCAAAAGCCTTGATCAAAACAACGATTAGGTAGATATAACTCATCCAGTGTTGGACGCTCTCTCCTCGATGTTCTCGCTGGTGATGTTGTCGTTGTTGTTGTTGTTATATCAGATAATTCCAACGAAGTCCTGAAAGAAATGTTCACAGCAATGATGGACTGCATTAGTTGCTAGCAAGGAGCACGTAAGTGAGTCGTTTGTTAACGGGTTAAGATACTTGATTAAGCTTGCTGCTGCAAAAACTAATTCTGTCCTGTACTCGCCTTGACATCTAGTTGCTTTGAAACACCGTTTTTGAAATAAGTGTACAGTGCCCAGTGAGGTGTCTTGCATGGGACTACGTAAGAACATTTGTGATGCCTTGTTGTATTAATCGTCTTTTTTTATGAAGAAATAAGCTAAGAATAACGAAATGTTCATTACGTCATTAAGTGTTTCTGTTCGCGTAGCCTGATTTTAACTCCAAGGCGTTTTGACACTATAAAGTTCACGCGTGTAACGCGAGTTCACGAAAGCCTGCGTCTCACGCACGCGTCTTTCTATGTACATCATTTCTTGAGTTAACGCGTGCGAGAATCTGCCTAACCCCTTTTAAAACCTGGATCGTAGGTGAGAGGTAAAATTCGCGCACGAGAACGCGTGGAACAAATACAAGCGCGTAAACTCGACGTAAGGCGACCTAACCTCTGTATAGTTTAATCCGCTAAGTTAGCTAAGCTTTAGCTGCTTCTCCATCCTACTGTTAGATTGATTTTAACTATACCCTCAGCCCTTAATGCTATACCCATAATTAATCAGCCAATAAGAGTGTGAGGTCAAAAGATATTAGTGGAATTACTGTGGTGATTTATTACAATATAATGACGAAGGCATTTCCTTCTGTGTGTGGAGAACGGAAGATCAAACGTTGACAAGAGGCGATTTGCTTTGTNTCGTGTAAAATTAGCTTTACATATATCTCTAATTTCCTACCCAGATATCACTTTGCCTTACGATGGCAGATCGGGATGCGAAATTTTAAAATTTATTTCCACGGCGTTTTTGGTTGTTTTTGGATAGAAGGAAGTATACAGAGTAGATAAAAAAAATTTGTAGTCCACTCTTTATACGAAGGGCCGTTTCAACTAAGGATTTAGGGAGAGAGTGGCCCCAACCATCTTCCGAAAGTCCCTCGACTCTTCTTTCTCAAGAGTAGCTTCAAGTAGAACCCGAGTCAAGCCTTGCGTTAGGTGGCCAAACTTCCTCGGAATTACAGCGAAACCCCGCCTTACGGCCACCCCGTTAATACGGTCACCTCAATATTACGGCCACTTTATTCTGGTCCGGACAAAAGCTCAGTTAGTAATTTTCTTATTTAAAGAACCCGGCCATCAACACGGCCAGATATTTGTGGCCCGTTGGTGTCCGGATTAACGGGGTCCCACTGTACACGCAAGTCGCAGAAAACCCCGCAGACATGTCCTGTATGATGATTTAATTGGCTAAAAGATTGCTATAACAACGAAAGGACGTCACTAAATTTGCATTGACTTGGGTTGGGTGGCCAAACGATGAAAAACTTGCGTCGACTTGCGTGCAAATTTGATCTCAACCAAAGTGAGCACAAGTCATGACAAGTCAACGCAAGTGCACGCAAGCCCCGGCCAAACGGAGTCGCAAGTAGACCCATGTTTTCAACTTGCGTCTACTTGCGAGTCCGTTTGGCCAGGGTTTTACACCAAAACAGACTGACGAAAGAAAACTAGGCAGACCTGAGCAGTCTGAAGAGCACACCATTAAGAGGACAATCCATTCAAGGTGCAAATATATATATTTTATTTTTTTTTCGTTTCTATATATTAAATTTCTCTTCAAACGACCTCCTCCAGCCACGACCGAGGATTTCTAGAAAACTGTCTGGCGAATTATATAAAAATTTACAAAAATATATATCTATAAAACCTACCCCTTGAAAAGCTACATCTGCCGTTGTGTAGAGCACTACCGAGACGAAGCTACTATGCACCAGACTGACTGATAATAAGAGGAAACTTTGAACAGAAACCAATGTGAAAACTAACGAGACCTAAGACTTCTGATGCAAAATACCTCAATACTACGTTAAGTAGGAGTGAACTATAAACGGTGTCTAGTATAAAACGCCAAAGACTTGGATGACCACAAACGCTAGCATATTTTAAACACGCGACTTAATATTCGATGGAGCAAGTACCGTCTAGCTTAAAATGGGTTCCTTTCGAGCGCTCTGTCAGGTTGCTAGGCAACGTGGCTGCGCCATCTAACGAGAAGTCACTCATAAAGTGTTCGTGTGGTTTTCTAATGGGGTAGAAAAAATTGGGTGCGCATGGGGTCTTCACCGAAAATTAACGGTATTTGTTCCATTGAATGCAAAAGTGAAAAAAGCTGAAGACATTTTGGCGCGTTGCGGCCACTTATTAAAGCAACTGATAAGATCATTTAAATAAAGGACGAGGCCCCAAATGGCTGATAAAGTTTGTACACGCTATTAGCAAGAAAACACTTAAGATTAAAAATGAAGAAGGTAAGGAGTTTTAGAGCAAAGGATACGAAGCTGACTCAACAACAGCGGATCTTAAATTTTGTAATTTCAATGTCAAATTCTAATGAAAAAGAATCAAATTACACGCGTCAAAGACGAAACTGGTCTCGACAAACTTACAAGCGCTTTCGCCAATTTCCGTGCGTTAAAACAAAACCATTTTGAATGATTCTACACAACAATGGACGATTTTACTGTCTCACTAAAATCAAGATATTCGCAGAGCCATTTTAAAACAGTAATGATCCAATCAAAGCTCCGAGAAAAACTACGTGACTGGCACCAAACGCGGAAAATCACGCGAGAAAATCACATTCTTTTGACACGTGATTGGTTGAGACGACTGAGTCCTTTGATCTGATTGGCTAGCCCAAACTGTAGGAGTTTTATGAACCATTAGCAAGCTATACAAACGCGAAATCAAGGCGAAGAGTTCTAAGTTGGCCATAGGCCCTTACTCTAACTCCTTACGAAGTTGTAACATGGTATTAATAATTCTTACAAATTTGGCTATATATATTATATCCCTACGTCTTTCGTAACCTGTAGTTTATAAATAACAGCCATATTTATTTCTCTATGTAGTCGGAAAATTTACACTCTGGACTGGACTCCCGGTTAAAAGTCCCTTCAATATGGCAACGGAATGAACCCGACAAAGTTCAAAGTTCTAACAAACAAACGACGTCGAGGACACGCGCACGTTTGTTAAAATCACAAGTTGACCACGAAAATAGCACGTGACGTCGAGCTCGACGGGCAAAATAATACGATGCGATATAATCTGCGATTTTTTTTTCAAAACAAATATTTTTCTTCCAGTACGCGCGAGAGTCAAGGCAAGCTGAATATTCACATTTCAGAATTTCCCAAAAAGCAATGATGACTCAACATTCTTGGCTCGTACTGCCTTTATATGGTAAGTTTGAATCTTTTTTTTTTCTTTTGAAAAAACATTCGTCGCTAAAAGAGTAAAAATATATATACAAGGCTGAAACGATTACAAAATTTCAAAACCAAACGTTTTCGACCTACTACCACTGCCCTCTTTTTTTTTATCCGAAGGTGTTTCTTGCACTTGTTCATTCAAAGGGAGCTTTTATTTTGTCAATCCCGAGGCTCTATAGTGTCATTCGCAGCTGTCTCGTTGGGCCGTTGCTTGACGACATGAGAGACCAGAGGTTCTAATGCGAAGCCCTTAAATAATTACCTCGAGCGCGTACCCTGAAAGGGGTCAGTCGGTCTACACTTTTAACGGTCGGTCCAAAAAATTGAATCTGAATTTTTTTAAAAAAGTCTTGTATATGTATTTTTTTTTCATGTGACGTCATCGCCGCCATGATGGATGATATTAGCAAAAGGTGTCCAACTAATGTAGCTTCTTCTGTTGGTACATCCAACATGGCCGCCATACCTTTACCATTTGAATCTCTCGGGATTGGCGGCAAACCGTCCATATTTTGAAAATTATTATATCAAATCAGCTTTACACGCCCTAACAGCCATGAATCCCCAGGCACTGCCGCTTTAGTGTCTCTGGGATTATTCTGTCCTGTTTTTTTAAGGTTCTCGACATTTCAGCTTGTCGATTCAACAGTATTCACAGTTGATTCCCATTCGATTTGTAATATTTCTCTGCCATACCAGCTGACTTCAATTGGGTCATTAATTCATCACGTGACCCTCTGCGCATCTGTTCACGTGATAATCACTTCCGCGGTTGACATCACGTGATTTCAGCTTGTTATGGTTTGTCGGCTGGTCGAGCCTGAAAATTGCAAATTACAAAATTTTGTTAACTGTGATAAATATAATTTCACTATGAAACGGATGACGTTGTTTTCTCAGTTTCGTGCAAGCTTTTGGCCGAAAAATTGAAACGTGTTGCCTTCTCTTTCATAATTTCAAGTTTCAAAAAAGGCTGGTCTCTCGTAATTGTTAGGGAATGCTTACTCGAAGAGAACCGCGAAACCGATATCAAGACCTGACTATGAGGATTTTATGGTTAAGGTATTAGTTATTGACTAGCTCTGAGGTTAATACGGTTTTTACCTTGGAACTGACGAAATAGGATTAGTGACAATGGAAGCTATGCATGCTGCAAGCGGTTATAAAATAGCTAAAACCATGCAAGTCAACAGAACAGCTAATTTACCTTTAAGTTAAATAAATTAAATTAGATTTCCAGCTCCACTTCCTGCCAAAAGCCTTGATCAAAACAACGATTAGGTAGATATAACTCATCCAGTGTTGGACGCTCTCTCCTCGATGTTCTCGCTGGTGATGTTGTCGTTGTTGTTGTTGTTATATCAGATAATTCCAACGAAGTCCTGAAAGAAATGTTCACAGCAATGATGGACTGCATTAGTTGCTAGCAAGGAGCACGTAAGTGAGTCGTTTGTTAACGGGTTAAGATACTTGATTAAGCTTGCTGCTGCAAAAACTAATTCTGTCCTGTACTCGCCTTGACATCTAGTTGCTTTGAAACACCGTTTTTGAAATAAGTGTACAGTGCCCAGTGAGGTGTCTTGCATGGGACTACGTAAGAACATTTGTGATGCCTTGTTGTATTAATCGTCTTTTTTTATGAAGAAATAAGCTAAGAATAACGAAATGTTCATTACGTCATTAAGTGTTTCTGTTCGCGTAGCCTGATTTTAACTCCAAGGCGTTTTGACACTATAAAGTTCACGCGTGTAACGCGAGTTCACGAAAGCCTGCGTCTCACGCACGCGTCTTTCTATGTACATCATTTCTTGAGTTAACGCGTGCGAGAATCTGCCTAACCCCTTTTAAAACCTGGATCGTAGGTGAGAGGTAAAATTCGCGCACGAGAACGCGTGGAACAAATACAAGCGCGTAAACTCGACGTAAGGCGACCTAACCTCTGTATAGTTTAATCCGCTAAGTTAGCTAAGCTTTAGCTGCTTCTCCATCCTACTGTTAGATTGATTTTAACTATACCCTCAGCCCTTAATGCTATACCCATAATTAATCAGCCAATAAGAGTGTGAGGTCAAAAGATATTAGTGGAATTACTGTGGTGATTTATTACAATATAATGACGAAGGCATTTCCTTCTGTGTGTGGAGAACGGAAGATCAAACGTTGACAAGAGGCGATTTGCTTTGTCATATCAGGTATTTAAAAGGTTTAACCCCGCATCTGGTAGAGTCAAACCGCGGAGTTCTTAAGTTGATTAGTGTGGTTCTTACTTTGAAGTTGCTAGATGAAACAGTAGTGTGTGATCATTCAAATGAAAGCTATTGAGCAGTACGTTCGCATGGTAGTATTGGTGTATCTTAAAAACGGAACCACATTGCTAGGCATTCATGAAGTTAACAAGTAAAGTGGCGCAATAAAATTGAAGCCTTTCTCACCTCGCATTTTCTTTGTGTGCCTTTCTTTCTTCCAGCTTTTCTTCTGCTGAATTTTCCTGCGTTTTATTTGTATTCTTTGCGTTCTGCTTCGAAGCCACGAAATTTCTAATTATGTCAGGATTGCCTGATCTTGCGCCCGCACAATGTTTAGGATCAGGGTCCTCAATGTCTATTTGTTTGGGATTGACTTGAGCCTGCGCTTCCACGGCTACTGCAGCGGCGTCCTGTGCCGCGCGCCTGCGCTTTCTCCAATATCTCCAAACGACACCGCCGACGATTAGTGCTAACAGCACTAATACAGAGGCTAGAATCACAACTATCATTGTAGTCCGACTTTTGGGACCTGGCAACGAATAAAGAGCAAGAAATAAATTATTTGTCCGCGACAATAATGGATTGATTTTGCAGGACGATACTCTACTAATGACAGCAAACCAATAGGATATGACGATGGCTAAAAATAGCAAGGATCGAAGTGGATTGAAAATGAAAACACTTGACAACAAGTGGCTTGTGTTTCCAACTTCTGTTCGGATCCCTCTCAAATCTTGCAAAAATCTAAAGGCTTATCCAAACGCGTGCGACATTTCAACGCAACATTTTGCTCACCTTTTCCGTCGTGCATTTTTATCATAGTTGTTTTTATTATTGTAAGTTTACTTTTAATTGTAATTTAAGCTTTTTAAAATCATTGGAAGTTTACTTTTAATTGTAATTAATTAGCTTTTTAGCCTTTTTATTCCGTTTTTAATCTTGTCATGCGCATTTGAACATTTTATGAAATTTGCGCGTCATAAATGTTGTTATTATCATTATCATCATTATTATTATTATTATTATTATTGTTATTTGC